AGCTTGACGTGTGTGGCTGCACAAACACCAGAATGACACGACAGAAAATAAGACAAGAAAATGCGCCGAGGGAGTTGTGGAGAGGCCACTTATGGAGGGGGGAAAAAAAAAAATCACGCCCTCTCTGTGACAGGCCAATTTATATGTAAAAAGGACCATGGCTGAGCACTTTGAAATCTTGTGCTTCTGATGCACGTTGTTTTCCAAGGAAACCCCCCTGCTGATGCCAAACTGGCACTCTGTTTCCCTAGAAACAGAGAAGTAGAAACATACAGTGCTTCTGTTGTAAAAAAAAAAAAAATCAACGTTGATATAACTGGGGAATGTCTTACTCCCATCTGTGATTAACGGCCCTTTTTGTTTTGCCCTTTTGGTCAAAATTTTAAGGCACAATAGTGAAGAAAGTTTAAGAAAAACTACAAAAAGATAACAAAATGGCCAATTAAATCAAATTCTGTCTTGGCTTAAGGAATACAACTTAGATGTTACATCAAATATCTGAAAGTTCACTAGTGAGAACAACATCTCATATATGCAAGGATGAGTGATTTATTGAGGAGAAATCTGGATGTCTGAAGAGGACTGATTTTTGCTAACTCATCTCAAGAAATTGCAGGATGAGGCTTCACAGATTCATGAGGAATCTAGTAGGTAGGGATGAGTGCTGGACGAAGTAGAGATGAGGGACAGAGGAGGTTAGGACGAGAAACGAAGGAGGTAAAAATAAAGGCTTAAGTGAGGGTGGTTATAGCGAGGAATACGGGATGAAGGAAGAGTTGAAGACCGAAGGAGGAGGATGACAATGAGAGAGGCAGGTTAGGATGAAGGATGTAGGCATGACAGGTGATGAAGGTGGAGATGATGAGGGATGAGGAATAATTGATGTAGGGATGAGGGATAAAAGAGCTTGGGATAATGACTGGAGGAGGTGTAGGGGTGAGGAACGAGGGATGGAGAGAGTAGGGATACAAAATGAGTTATAAATTAGGGAGGATGTTGAGATGAGGGATAAAGGAGATGAGGGTTAGGATGAGGAATGACAGGTGAACGAGGTAGAGAAGATGGATGAGGGCAATAAGGATGATGGATGACAAAGGCATGGATGATCAATAAAGGATGTAGGATCAAGGGATGTAGAAAGATGGACGTGGATATGAAGGATACAGATGAGGGAAGCTACGTTGATGGACGATGAATGACAGAAGATTGGGGAAGGGACGAATGAGGTTAGGATGTGGGATTAAGGAGGTAGACATGAGGAAAATGGATTGAGAGATGACCAGTGAAATAAGGACGAGAATTTGAAATGGAGATAGACAAGTGATGAGAATGATAAAGATACAGAATAACAAAGGAAAAGAGGAAGAATGGAGGACAATGATGGTAGGAATAAGAAAGGCCAAACTTGTAGGAAAAGATTAGAGATGAAAAAGGAAGGAATGAGTAATAAAGGAGGAATGAATGATGAAGTAAGCATAGAATAGCAGTAAAGGAGGAAGGAGTGAAAGGGTGAGGGTAGTGTGGAGTTTAAAAGAACACAATGGAAACAGCTAAACAAGGGAGCTAATATAGGTTTCAGGTAATAAGAGGTTTGCTCGTAGACTAACAAATTCATTTTGATTTGCAACAGATATAACCCATCATTCCAAGTTTGCCCTTTTTTTAAATATAGTTTTTATGTTTTGATGTGTTCTACAAATTTCTGCTGATGTTCATCTTAACCTGCTTGTTGCTTTTGAAGCTCCAGAGATCAAACCTAAAGGGGGAATCTGTGCGCGGGAGATATACACCGGCTATCCCGCCCCCAGGGACCGCAGCCAGCGTCGCATGATTTATAGCCCTATAGCCTCTCTCACCGCACATACATGCTCACACACACAAACTCCTACTTCACCTATCCAGACACCATGAACACAGTTCTAATTATTACATATTGCTCTCAAGAATCAATCTTACTCCCCCTCACACACACAAACGCATTGCCTAAAAGCCAAAGTCCCTGATCGATTGCACGTTTGCTAACTTTGTGTATCAACACAAAGGGATCTGCTTGAGGGAATTGTACTCTCATTAAAAATCCATGTGAAAACGTCCGTGTAGCCCCAGACCTTTCTGGGGTCTTGCAGAAACAAGGCTGCCGTGTGAGGAATTGCAGACCGAACCTAAGCCTGGCGTTCAGGTGGTGCTTCGAAGAAATTTCACTGTGGATTTGTTTTACTAGTGCGCGTCTCTGTTTCCCTCTCCATATGGAGCTTAGCATCCTGATTACCTGAAGATACTTTGTTCTGCTATTAAGATGTTTTCCATCTCCCCACCTGGGATGGACACATTTTAAGATGCTAGCAAGCAACAGATTGGCCAATTTAAAACCCCGTGATGCCGCTGTATAGGTTTTCAGTTGCCCTGAAGTACTTTGGTTGTGTTTCCTCTTCATCAGAACGAAATTGTAAACAATTAAAAATATAAAAATGTCCAATTTTGAATGACACTTGGTTGCGTTAATGGCATAAGCATATTTGATTGGGATGTACAAAGTAGCTTGTCATTATGATCCAAATTTTCAATATTTCTAACAGAAAAAAAAAATCAAAATATGGTATGCATGTGTATTGAGCTTCTCTCTGTAATCGCTGCTTCAAGTCTTCTGGGGTAAATCTCTATCCGAGTCTTTGCCCATTATTTTTTCAAAATATTTCGACATTAACATTGGACGATGATAGTCTGATTGGTCAGAGACTGTGAACTGCAGCTTTTAGGTCTCTCAGTTGGATTCAGATCTGGACCAGAATCTTTCCACATGTTCAAGGTCATTGTGCCAGTTCCCTTTTTTTGGAGAGGCTCCAACAGGTTTTCCACGCGTTTTCCCATCAACTCTCACCAGCTTCCCTGTCCTTGTCGGAGAAAAGCATCAGCAGCATTGAAGCCGTCACCACCAGTGTTTCACAGTGGTGACGACGTGTTCAGGGTCAATTACAATACTGAGGTCTCCACCACACTTATCTTTTTGCACAGTTGACAGCAAAGGTTGTTGTAAGATTAAAGCACCTTCCACAAGTTTGCTCTGTGACCCCCAAGGTTTGCTTCGAACTCTAAATGTGAGCGTCTGTCTTGTATTCCTTTGTTTTTATGATGCTGTTTTTTATTTTATGTTTTTTTTTAAAGGATTTCTCTACTCCACAGCACAGGCTGAACTTGAAGGTTTTGGATTACTTGCCTGCTTCCTATCATTCTTTTGGTACACTACTTATTTTCATCTCTGTTACAGAGGTTAAACTGAGTAACTAGTTGACTTCTAAAGGCAGTGGACTGCTCTGGGTTTTATTAAGGGGTATCAAAGTAAATGAGCTGGATACAACTGCAGGCCAGATTTTCATCTCATAAAACAAAAAAAAAGAAAACTGTGTTTCATTTTCTCAGACATGTTCTCCTTTGAACACATTTTCATTGTTCAGCTGAAGCGGCATGGTTGTATATCCTGTACCATCTCAACTCAGGCGGCGCAGCGGGGAATGTGTGAGATATGCACCCAGCATAAGCATTTCAGACCTGCACAGTAACACAAAAGCCATAACTTTGCCTTCAGATAGACCCCTTGAGATTTCTTCAGCTCTGTATCTTACACACACACACACATGCACACATATACGCAGATGCTTGCTGGGGGAGACGGTTTAGCGGTTTGGATGACGGTGAAGTTGATTTTTTATTTTTTATTTTTTTTTTACCTCCCCAGGGCTTTCTTAGAATGAAATCTAGTGTGATGGCTGTCTCTACAGTAAGTGTACTGTTGAACATATATAACGCCAGACACATGCAGGTATGCACTTCCGCACCGGATTTGTCTCCTCCCGGCTTTCAGCACAGAAACCCCCGAAAACCTCACTGCGCTTTATTAAGACATCTCTTTTTTTTATTGTTTCATACTCCCCTGCCACTTATTCATATCTTAACATAAATTGTGAAACCGCCAAAAAACATTACGTGACACATCCGAAGCGGCAGCGGCTCTGAGCAATCTAACCACGGAAGATGCTTATTTACTGCTAATACATGGGTAATCCCCCGGTTGGGTTAGGGATGGAAAACAGACACTCTTGCGTCCCAGAGAGGGTGCTGTTGGGTTCATTATGGGAGTCAGACAGCCACATATTAATTCTGATGCCTATAATTGGATGGTCTATCTCTGAGCAGGATGGGGCTTATGAGTCCGTAAAGGTACCTCTGGGATTTGCCAGCATACAGGAAGACAGAGAAAGAGAGAGAGAGAGGAAGAAGAACCTCATGCTGCTTTTCTGGCAGTTCGAAGCAAAAACAAAAAAAAAAGAGTTATCACAGCACGGAATCTTGTGAAATACCAAAGCATATCTCTCATTTACTTATTCACAGCCTCATACTGTACACCGAAACTGAAACATAAATGTACTGTACAAGTAAATGTCATGTTATATGCAGAAACCTCCATACATCTTGTCATTATTTGATGCGTCGAGGTTCATACGGAGTTGCAAAGTAGAAGTGAAGTCATTTTCACGTTTTGTTTCTTTATACAGATACAAGTTTACAATAAAACATTTTGCTTTCAGTTTCGTCCTGATTCAACACCAGGAACATTTTAGCCAAACTGCCGCCTGCTGCGTTGGTTTTTGCACAGTCTCTCAGACTTAATCAAATAAGTTGGAGAGAATAAATGAACAAGTTAGTTTTTTCTCGTTTTTTTTTTTTTTTTTGCTGATTTTCAACTGGATTTACATCTGGACTTTGATTCAAACATTGCTGTGCATGAATATGCTTCGATGTGAACCATTCCATTGTAGTTTTTGCTGCATCTTAAGCGTTTGCATCTTACCCTGCAACTAAAACTATGACTTAACCGAAGATTTTCATCAGATTTCTCATCAACTTTCACCTACTTCCCATGATGCACATACATTTGTGATTTATTTTTGCATAAATCGTGACTATTCTGTCTCTTTCCTCCCCCCCTTTTTTTCCTCTTCCAGATCCCCAGCTCAAGGGTATAGTGACCAGGTTATATTGCAGGCAGGGATACTACTTGCAAATGAACCCAGATGGCTCTCTTGATGGGACCAAGGATGACAGCAGTAATTCCAGTGAGTACTGTGGCACGATCTTTTTGCCTCTGGGAATAAAAATTTCAAAAGGTGACGGAAAAATATTGAAAAAACACCGAACAGGGAACGTTGTTCATCATAACTCAACTGTTTAACGCTTTTAGTGTTTTAAACTCCCTCCGGCACAATCGAGCGTATTACAACGTTGACGTTCGGCGTGGCAGCGTTGCACGTTTATCGTTCTGGTGTGGAGATGATACATTCCCTGTCTTCCCCTGTCAGTCTCCTCCAACCCCTGGGGTCAATATACTTCCTCAATTTTTTAGCCTTTGGAGTAAAAATGTCTCCTCAAAGCGCAGCCGAGGGATCACACCAATTCATCCTTATCTCTGAGGTTACAAAGTAGACCAGGAAACAGCAGATCTAACAGAGAGGAAAATGGTGTTATTACGTTGTTCTGGCTCTGCTCCTCTGCTGCTTCAGGCCGGGTGGTTAATTTGATTCCTGGACCTGGTGCTAACGCTGGCTTGACACTCAGCATTGTGTCACTTACCACTGTCAGCAAGACGGGGTTTGGCACATGTCACATCTGATTAGATAAAGAAAGCTATAGATAGGATTCACAGGGGAGAAATTGCGTTATTATTAGAACTTTGATGTTGAGTTAGAACTTGGAAGAATCGCAAAACTTCTCCCCTCCTGTTAATCCTTCGTTTAGGGGTCTTTGAGTTTACCATAACAGGAGATTCACAAACTTAGCCGACTGTGGTTTGGTGATGAAAGAGGTTCTATTATAATCCATGCAGCCAGTTTTGGTCTCATACCCACACAAGGTACCAATAAACAGTTAGGTAAACATTAATTTGAGTTTTTATAGGTCTTGTCCACATAAAAAACAAACATTTTTTTTTTCGTAGATGCACTTTGTAATTTCTAAAAAAAAAAAAAAAAAATTAAATACTGGATCATTTTTAGAGATGTGCTTATCCATGCATAAAAATGACTCAAAGCATTACGTTGTAAGCAAGGCTGTACAGTCCTCATAATGCTAACTGTAGTGCTAATATTTAGCCAGATTAACAGAACATCTAAAAAAAAAAAAAAACACAAGTGACACTTTTATCTAAATGTCTGTGTTTATGCATCTGTTTTCCAGCATTGTTTAACCTCATTCCTGTGGGCCTCCGAGTTGTCGCCATTCAGTCAGTGAAGACAGGGTTATACATCGCCATGAACGGGGAGGGCCATCTCTACACATCAGTAAGAACACTGTCTAGTCTGTTGTTTATTTTACAGTTTTATTCACAGCAAAAAAATTTAAAAAGAAATGAAACCAAAAATCAATGTATTTATTTATTTTTTCTGGGATTTAACACATTAAATCTGTTAATGTCTCCTAATTTTGTTTTGTTTTCCTGTATTATGTTGCATGTGTTGCATTACCCAAAAATAGAAAACAGCTTCAAAAACACCATGGAAGTGGAGGGAATATTTTGTTCGGATTTTGGCGCAGCCTTTTTTTTTTTTTTTTTTTTTTTTTTGGGGCTTTATAGTTGGGATTATTGACTATTTCTCTTCAACTAGGATTCAGTAAGCTTCACAGCCGGGGGAGTAATAAGACCTCACCCAGCAGAGATGGAGCTTCTCTGCTTGGCACTTTACTCTGTCCTACAGCAGTCGTACAAATCAATCAGCGGGAGGAACACTGGGAGTAGTGCTCCTCTTTTTAGACAGGAGAATCCATCAGAGCAACTGTCTCCTCTTCCCTCCGCAGACGTTATGTTCCTAATTCTCAGAGCGCAGACCGGGCATGGCCGTCTTATTTCTCCTTCATTACTGTGGGGGCTTAAGAGGAACTTCTTCTTTCAACGTGCCATGCACCCCCAAAGAAATTCTCTAAAATGCAATCAGCGCTCGATTTAAAGCATGAAATGAAATTCGTTTGAAAAGGATTGACCCAGAATTCGGTGGATTATTCAAGAATTGTGCAACAGGGGGTGTTAAATTAATGGATTATGCAATATTTAAAGGTACTATGTTGCTGCACACAAGTAGTAGTTTGATTCTAGTGAACAGTTATTACCCTTGTAAATACTTATTCCACATATTGGCAAACATGTGCATCAAATCTTTCAATCTTTACTTATACTTGTCAGCGCTACGATGACTTTGCAATACTTTTATTGTGTGTGAGGCCAAATTCCCATGACTTTAACAGTTGTGTTTCTTATTAGCCTAGAGGCAAGCTTGCAGTGAGATGCTAGCTCTTGTTGCTTGCCCCAAATTTTGTTTCAAGACAGCATTAGCTTTCAAAATGTAAGAGATGGAGCTTCTGTTGTATCAAGATCACAACTGACTGGATTTTTCAAAATTGAAAATCATTTCCCAACAACCAACTTCATTTTGTACTTTAAGGAACGGAAAGCTTAGTAGGATATGACTCCTTTAAAAAAAAAATAAAAATAATAATGTTCACGGACACAGGTTGATAGATTAAAAGAATATATCTCTGCTTAATTGCTTAGTGGTCTAAACTTTGCTCTTTAAACAAAAGTTGTTTTTTTACTGGCTCGGCCTTTGATCATACTGTTTTTCTCCCGTCATCTTTCACGATTAGCCCATCATCAGCCATAAAGAGGATCTTTCTACTTTTCCTAGTTGGAGTATCACATTTTCTTGGCCTGTCTCTTCTCCACAAGTAGTCCTTGTACAGCTTGCACATTTTTTTTCTCCCCCTGCTAATGGAGGTAGTGATCAGACATCAACTCTCCTAACCACCCACTCAAAGGTCTCTCTTTTGCTCCCTGGTGTGCAAATTACTCCAGTAATGGCAGCCTTGCAAGATGCTGCTCATCCTCCTCCATTTCCACCTCCTCCGTCTTCCTGCATCCTCCATTCTGCCCTGTAAGCAGGGTTCAACTGCTCTGCCCATTATCACTCTATCCCTTCACAGGAATAAAACCGACAGTCGACCTTTTTCCAGCCATTTGACAGGTATTGGATTTTTGTTCGCTCCCGTGTTAAAAACTGACTCGGATGTCTTTGACGGCATAACAATGTAGAGTCATCCAGGGACGTTGCCAAAAAACAAACAAACAAACAAACAAACAAACATATTTTACAGCAATAAAATAATCTGTCTCCCTGTTTCTTAAAAGGCCGGTTCGTTTTCACTGATTGAAATTCAATTGGCCGGCTTATTCCATTTCGGCATTACATACATTACCAAGTCTTTCCCTTCAGTGATGTACTTTGATAATGAGTGACACTTGAAGTGAGTCAAAAGGAGAAATTCTACTCAAGACCCATTCAAGGCCTCTGCTGGTGCATCATAATCCTTTGTGCGAGGCGCCCAAGGCGCCGAATGAGGCTCAAATGACAGAGATAGCATCAAAGTGACAGTGCAGTCTGGCACAAAGGACACACCACAGAATAAAGGGGAGTTCAATCATCTCACTTCTTTTCAATCTGCTCCCTTTTGTGTCGGAGCCAATAAAGTCCGGGCTAATTTCTTTTCTAGGCTGCTCCCAGGATCAGGCATTTCTTCTGAAATCTAATAAAAGGAGTTACTCCCGCCCTGTTGAATGAGGTAGCTGAGACAGGACGTACAAAAGTCCCTTGATAACTGTAATAGAGCTCGTAATGCAAAAAAGCAGACAACTGTAAATGAGATAAAGTAAAAAAAATAAATAAAAAAAAACTAATTTATTCAGTCGGGACGCCTGTATGAAAACCCTACGAGCTAACAAGGAAGTGGTGGATATTCTATTTTGCTACACATGATGAAATTGTGGTATTAGAGAATGCAACTCCCTGGTGATAATCTTTCTTTTTCAGGGCTGCTAATACGGACTCCTGCCATCTCTCTTGTGTAAATGTTCGGCATTTTATGGTTGACTGAGTCCTTTAGAAGCACTTCCCCATTCCTTCACTCCGCCCCGGTGTCTCACTGCAGGCTTTCTTTATCAGGAGCTCGCACTTGTTAGCGCTACCTTTCATGTTTGTCAAATTGACTCGCCACATCAGTGGAATCCTTCAGAGGACCGATTGGGAGAAGTGCAGCGGGTGTTAGTTTCACTTGTTAAGGGGCCGTTTCATAGTTAGTGCATGGACGCAGAGGACTGAAGGCGTCCACATCCCGCTGTGCTCGATTCGGAATCTACGGAAGGCTCCAAGGAGCCGTGGCGAAAAAAAACAAAAAAAAAAACAAAGAAACTTTCTGAAGCACTGACTGCTTCCCAAAAAATAATAAATAAATAACTCGAAGCTTAGCGCAAGGTTCAGGGCCACCGAGATGCATGAAACAGGAGACGGGTATCATTTGGATAAAGTAAAAATAAATAGAATAACTGTATAAATTCATTGCATAGAAGATAGTTTGTGACTAGCAGCAGTCAGGCTGAGGCTTAGTGGGCTGCCTCATTATTTTTAAAGTGTTGCTCTCTTCAGTGCAGTGTCAGGAAGTGAAGTTGGTCATAAGGGCAAGAAGAATCGCTTCATGTTTTAATGAATAAATAGGTTGAAGGAAGGCATCAAAGCTTAACCCTGGAAATGCAGGTCAGGACTGAGATGAGACAAGCATATGAATAACTGGTCGTTCTGTCATTTAACATCATTTTTTTTAAATGTTTGCATCTACATTTTTTTTCCCATAAAAATGGCTTCGTGGGATTCTTCTACTATCGTCCAGTAAAATCTTTCGCGTCTTTGTAAAATCCTATCAACTCAGAAGAGTGTCGCATTCAGGCAATTAAACAGTTGCCCTGATGTTTTACTTGACTGCAGATACCCTCCCTCAAACAGGGAGTCGCCTCCTCGGCGTGTTTGACTTGACCAGAGGGGATCGGACCACCCTGAACTATAAATCATGATACACAACGCTGCTAATTCGTCCTCCATCTTCTTTCCAGGTCAATAGGTTAACGTCTATTAACGTCAGTTCTCTAAACCTCTCTGCTATTCCCCAGGTTATTCTGGGCAAATTAAGAGTTGGAGAGTGCAGCTGCTTTCTGAGTCACTGGTTTACATGACGCATATTTATTATCAACTGCACGAATGAGTCATTTTACGGATATTTCTTAGATAAATCCTTTGATAACTGGATGGATTTTTGCATGGTGTGACTTGTTTGTAGTTGTGCTCATGTTAGCAGATTTAAAAACAAAATCAGCATCAGAGTCTGTCACTGCTTGGAAATACATTCAAACCATAAGATATCATACTTCGAGAATGAGATTTAAAAAAAAAATAATTTAAAAAAGATGAAATCAATTATTGTGACCTGTGCATCAGCACACTTGCACTTTTAAATTGAACTGCTACGATGAAGTCACCCTTTTGATAAGTTTGATTTTTAGAACAGCGATTGTGTTTGACAGGCTTTAATGCCTTGTTGCGTTTTTACCAAAAACAACTGCTGGATTTTAATTACTTTTCCTGACCAAATTCAATGTCGTCACAGACCTATGTGGAGGAAAGCTGTGTTTGGAGCTGTGGAGGCTTAGATGGAGTCTTTGTCGACAATTTTAAGCCTATATTGCTGATCCCTAATAGATTACCATAAATCCATAGACATTTTTGTACGAGCTCAACACTGAAACAGAGGTCAACGCAACATTGAGTGGGTCACAGAGATTTGGAGACCATATACCAATTGCAACATCTGGCTTATAATTCAGTAACATGACTGTATGGCCCTGTGATCTCATCTGACATTTATTGCAGACTTGTTACTGTTGATGTAATTCAGCAGTTTGGGTAAAAAAAAAAAAAAATGTTTGTGAAGTTCTGTTCTTGAGTTGCTTTGCAGAAATTCCCTGACAATGCATCGAGTTCGTAACATGAATTGAAATAACACTGAAGCATACGGGACACACAACACCGAAACAGAGCAAAGGAGGTTGCTTTTTGTTTTTTATTTTTATTTTTTAATAATGGTTTGTTCAGAAGTTATTGATTTCAAGAGTGAAGATCTGTCAAAATTCAGAACGACATGGTTGTAACAGTACTCACAGCTTTGAAGTTAATTTCAAACGTTAGTCTGACAACCAAAGAACCAACAAAATAAACACCGACTAAAAGACTTGTACTTGGAGATGACAGTCACTTAGTGGGAAGCTGTCAAAGTAATGGCACGGTCTATTTGCAAGCTTAGTACCCAACGTTAACCATGGAGATCAGCAGCCAAGACTGGATCTGTTGGCTGCACCTGCACTTGTTTGATTTGGTTATTTTTTTCCTACTTATTATATAGCTATTGA